TGTGTGACCGGGTCAGTAACCCCAAGGCCTGGACTAATGACTCAGGGACAAGAGTTCCAATCCCAGCTCAGCAGCTGGAGAATTTCAGTATGGACAATTAAATGAATCTGGACCATGAAAGTACCAGATTCTCATAAGACCCATCTCATTCATTAGTGTCGTTTAGGGAAGGAAATCTGCCATCCTTACCTGGTCTAGCCTACTTGCAACTCCAGATACATATCAACGTGAACGAACCTTAATGGTTCCTGAAATGGAACGTGAAATGCTTTTCTAAGTCACTGAGCATTGGATTCATGAAGGCAGCTCACCACTACATTCTCAAGGGCAATTCATGAGGTAAAAATAACTCTGGCCATGTCAGTGATGCACACATTCTGTGAATATTTGACAAGGTTGTTTAAAAATTAAACATGGGTGATATAAATAAGGGCAAAGGATGCAAAGTCAGAGAGGTTGCGCTAAACCTTTAAAATCATTGGTGAAACGCTATCTGAAGTATTGCAAAGTAATACAGTAGTAAGGAGAGTAGTCATCTAGTAATGATGCCAGCACTGAGGTTAAACTAAGGGAATCTGGGATTTTTTTTCTTTGAAGCAGAGCGACTGCAGGAAAGATTAAATAGAGATGTTCAAAACTTTAAAAAAAAGACTTGACAGAGGATAAAGGGAGAAACAGTTTCCACAACAGGACAGTCCGTAACCACAGGATTTAATGTCATTGACACAAAACCCAGAGGGAATCCAGCAACATTTTCAATGCAGCAAATTATTATCTGGACTTCCCTGTTTGAAAGGGCAGTAATTAATAATGTCAAAATGGAGTTGGAAAAGTACTTGAAGAGGAGAAATTTACAGGATGACGAGGGGGAAGCCAGTGCTGGGGGAAGGTGTAGCAGTGGATTAATTGTATAGTTCTTTCCATCACCATTTCATTCACTGTAAACCGGTTTTAGAGAGATGTAACAGTGTGCCAGTGTCAGTGCAAACAGCACCCTCACACTCAAGTTCTCATTAAGGAACCGGGACTTGGTGTAAAGAAGATATCAGTCAATAAGGTATAAGGTTTGGTTTGTAAATTCGCAATTAGAAACTCCTTAAACTAAAACAACAGTCACAATTTAATTTGTGTGTAGATATACAGAGTCCTTATCCATTGATTGGACTGAAGGCTGGGTCAGTTTAGTCCCACTTCCACGGTTAAGAACATAGAGGGGACACTGTCCCAGTGTTCCTCCTGTTCCCCAATTTGTTACAATGTGGAGGAGCCAGTGTTGGACTGGGGTGGACAAAGTCGGAAATCACACGACACCAGGTTATAGTCCAACAGGTTTATTCAAAATCACTTTCAAATAAACCTGTTGGACTATAACCTGGTGTTGTGTGATTTCTGACTTTGTCCAATTCGTTACAACAATGACAAGAGGAGTATACTGATAATCCAGCCCCACTACTTCACCAATCACACTGTTAATATACATTAGGTGATTCAGTTAGCAATATGGCCAGTTTCACTCTTTTGTACTAATACCTACTGTAATGGTTAAAGGGGGAATCAGGCAAATTTAAATTAGATTGCTTTTACTCTCTTAAGTCCAAAACAGCAGTGTATTGTTTAATGTAATTTTTTTAAAAATCCCATACTCTATTGACTTCAGCCAAGTTCCATAAACTCTGGCCTTTTGTGTTTCAGTCTTACAAGTAAATTTACAGCAAAATGAAAACAAAGATAGGGTTTATTAACATACATTTGGGGAATTGCTTCCCTACTTAACTTGCACATGGTGGAAAGTAAAAAAGAAGCCAACACCAACTGGTAAATGCAGGAAGAATGTTCCTGATAACTGGTGAGTTGAGAATCAGAAGCCACACTCTAAGGATATGGAACAGGTTATTTAGGGCTGAGCTGAGGAGAAATTTCTTCACCCACAGAGTGGAGAGCCTGTGGAATCCGCTGGAAAAAGTTGTTGAGACAGAAACATTGAATATTTTCAAGACGGAGTTAGATATAGTTCATAGGGCTAAAGGAATTGAAGGCTATGAGGAGAAAGCGGGAACGGGGTATTGAATTGGATAATCAGCTATTATCATATTGAATGGTGGTGCAGGCTTGAATGGCCTACTCGTGCACCTATTTTCTACAGAAAGAAATTAAAAATTCTGAATTTCTTAAAAATTAAAGATATTGGTATTAGTTTACATGACTTGGAGTCCAGTAGGTCAATGTCCAAATTGGGAGTTTGTCAATTGGCCTATCTTATAGCAATTCCTTTCTTGGGAGTTCAGATTTCAGTCAAAGGTGCAACAATATTTTTGTTCTTGGAAATTAGTCCAGTTTAACTGCTGAAGTCTGAGATTCTTTCTTTCTGAAGACGATGAGTTCTGAGAAATGGCCTTGTAGCTGCTAAGGCCTGGGACTGTGCTTTTCTTGGTGTTAAACCAGCAACTGAAACCAGAAGTTAAAACTGTATCTAAAAGTGATTAAATCAGCTGTAAAGCCCACATCTTATTTTTCTTTAGATTGTGAATTAAAATGGGTAAAGGACATTTTTAACCCAAGGACTGTAGAAGGAGTTGCTGCACTTTTAGAAGCAAGTTACTGAAACTCAATGTGAGTTGTGTTTATACTGTTGCTTTGTTCAAGCAGCGGGGGTAGATGTCTAAGATGCCATCTCACCCTGGTTGTGTACAAAGCAAGTTTCACCCAGAGACAACAAGGTGCAGAGCTGGATGAACACAGCAGGCCAAGCAGCATCATAGGAGCAGAAAGGCTGATGTTTCCGGCCTAGACCCTTCATCAGAAATGGGGGAGGGGATGGGGGTTCTGAAATAAATAGGGAGGGGGAGGCGGATAGAAGATGGATAGAGGAGAAGATAGGTGGAGAGGAAACAGACAGGTCGAAGAGGCGGGGATGGAGCCAGTAAAGGTGAGTGTAGGTGGGGAGTTAGGGAGGGGATAGGTCAGTCCAGTGAGGACGGACAGGTCAAGGGGGCGGGATGAGGTTAGTAGGTAGGAGATGGGGGTGCGGCTTGAGGTGGGAGGAGGGGACAGGTGGGAGGAAGAACAGGTTAGGGAGGCAGGGACGAGCTGGACTGGTTTTGGGATGCGGTAGGGGGAGGGGATATTTTGAAGCTTGTGAAATACCATTTCAACTCCCCCTCCCATTCCTCAGACGACATGTCCATCCTGGGCCTCCTGCAGTGCCACAACGATGCCACCCGAAGGTTGCAGGAACAGCAACTCATATTCCGCTTGGGAACCCTGCAGCCCAATGGTATCAATGTGGATTTCACAAGCTTCAAAATCTCTCCTCCCCCAACCGCATCCCAAAACCAGCCCAGCTCGTCCCTGGCTCCCTAACCTGTTCTTCCTCCCACCTATCCCCTCCTCCCACCTCAAGCTGCACACCCATCTCCTACCTACTAGCCTCATCCCGCCCCCTTGACCTGTCTGTCCTCCCTGGACTGACCTATCTCCTCCCTACCTCCCCACCTACACTCACCTTTACTGGCTCCATCCCCGCCTCTTCGACCTGTCTGTTTCCTCTCCACCATTCTTCTCCTCTATCCATCTTCTATCCGCCTCCCCCTCTCTCCCTATTTATTTCAGAACCCCCTTCCCCTCCGCCATTTCTGATGAAGGGTTTAGGCCCGAAACGTCAGCCTTTCCTGCTCCTCTGATGCTGCTTGGCCTACTGTGTTCATCCAGCTCTACACCTTGTTATCTCAGATTCTCCAGCATCTGCAGTTCCTACTATCTCTCTTCACCCAGAGACAGACTGCTGATTGCACCCACCAATCAGGACCAAGGACTAGTTGTGGAGACCAGGTGTCATCAGCATGACAACTCCTCTCTGATTGGCTTCTGGGCAGGTGTGAACATTACAAAGAAGAAGCCTCGATATGGCAACAGAGGAAGGATGTCTCTCTCTCTCTGTGCAGTGAGGTAACCAAAATCTGGAAGATATTCTATCCCAACTGTTGCCATAAACTGGTATAAAGTGATTGAAATACTGAACAATTAATGAGCCAGTTGCCCTGCTTGCAGTAAAGAACTAAAAGAATTTGGAAAGTTTAAGAAGGTCATAAATTTGAAGGACTTGGAAAGCAAACGGGATGCTTTGTTGAATCCTGTAGCCTGGTGCTATTGATCTGTGTTTCTCCAATAACATCCATGTTTGTTTGTCTCTGTCTGTTTTTAGGTGTGTGGGGGTGGGATTTAAGGGGGGGATTAGAGTTTCAACTAGTGGAATTATATTGGTAATTCAGTTTTGTTTGCCAATGATTAGAATTGATTTCTTTGCAATAAATAACATTTTCTTGTAAAGTACAAAAAACCTGTTCAGTGCTTTCTGCTAAGCCATCTATTGGATAGGAAAATTTTGAGTAATTTGATTAAATCTTTAACTTTAGTGACCACCCCAGGAGCAGTGGGGTTCAAGTATCAGTGCATTTCCCCAAGTGAGTCATCACTCAGCTGAGTTTCAATTACAAACAAAGCACTACAGATGCTGAAGATCGGAAATAAACAGCAGAAAGTACTAGAGAAACTCATCAAATCTGGCAACATCTGTGGAAAGAGAAACAGGGTTAAGGTTTTGCATCCAAAGAACTACTTTCAAAACTTTGGAACCCATTTGCAATTCTTGTGCTGTGTTCTTTATTGGAGATTGGACATAACTAGGTAGCTTTTAGCAACAATAGTTGTCATCAATGTTCCGTCAAAACTGCACAGCGACTCAGTTTGTATCAGTATCAGAACTGAGATTTCACTGTTAATCATCGCCAATAAAAAGCTCTTCCATCTGCTTCTGTTTGTGAGATCTCGCTGTGCCTAAACTGGTGCAACAAATAACCAAAACAATCACTACATTTCAAAGTAATTTGTTGTTTTTGAACATTGGATAAACACATCAGATGAAAGATTTTTTTTTCCACCAGAAATGATTAGATATTACCTGTTTACCATTATTTACATAACCATGTATTTTTCTGTAATAGATGCCAACCAGGCTGAGGAACAATTGCCTGAAAACTTTGACAGTGAAGAAGTCATGTCTGAGGGTAGGTTGCCAGTGTAGCCAGTAACCAGTAACCAGAGCACAGTGACCAGTTGTAGCAGCTCACAACTAACCTTCCTCGTACTAACGTTCTCGGTCCTCGAATCCTGATTAAAATTGCTGCTGTTGCCTCGCTTCCAGAATTCCTCACCTTTCTTAATTGTGACTGACTGAAAATATGAAGACTGAGCAAATCTTTAATATTTTGTTCATTTTGCAAACAGGCACAGGTATTGTTCTGAAAACAACTTGCCTCATCTTTACAACTCCTACCTTCCTGCATTAGCCACCTGTCCCTTTCTCCCGTCTCCCCAACCCAGGCTCTAACTCCCGTCTCCCTGACCCCAGATCCCATCTCCAGGGCCCTGCTCTATTGCTCACTCCATCAAGGTGGATGGTGAATGCAATTCTTGACCATAATCTGTCTGGAGATGCTTGAGAGCTCTCCCAGTTAAATAATAACGTAATAATATAAATGAGATGATGTATGAATAGAAATAAATGTATATGAGTTGATAGCTATTACAGAGATGTAGTTGCAGAACTGGGAACTCAATACTCAAGGGTTTTGATATTCCAGAAGAACAGGCAAAAAGGAAAAGGAGATGAGATAGTTTTGTTAAAAAAGGCAGATAGCAATGTAGTAGTGAGTACTGATATAGATGCAATAGATGGTGATGTGATTAATTTGTGTGGAAATGAGGAATTGCAAGAGAAAGAAGTCACAGGTGGGAGTCATCTATATGTCCCCAAAGAGTAGCCTCACTGTTGTATAAAGCATCTATCTGGAAATAATGGAGGTATGTAAGAAGGGCATTAAAATTGTCATGGGTGTTTTTAATCTGCAGGTTGACTGGACAAATCCTATAGGCATTTGTAGAGTGAGTCAGGGATTGTTTCTTACAGCAGTATACTGCAGAACCTACTTAGAAATAGGCTGTTTTGGCCTTTCTTGCTCAGAAGTTGGAGTTTAAAAATAGGAACGTTTTGTTATAACTGTGTTGGTGAGAACACTCCTGTAGCATTGTACAGTTTTGGTCCTATATTTACAGAGTGATATTGCTGAGTGGCCCTGGTGGAACCCAAACTGGGCACCAGTAAGCTGGTTATTGCTGAGCAGTTGCTGCTTGACAGTGCTGTTGATGGCACATTATGACAGCCTATTCCTGGGTAGGTTTGGTAAAGTACTGCTTTAAGAAACAATCCCTGTTGTGACATGGGTGATTTTAATGTCCTTCTTATATGCCTGCATTATTTCCAGATACATACTTTGTCCTGCAGTGAGACAACTCTTTGGGGGCATATAGATAACTCCCAAACCATGACACTTTTCTAATGATCGAGAGTAGAATCACACTAGGTTCTGAGGGGGCTTGACAGGGCAGATGTTGAGAAGATACTTCCACAACTAGAGGAACTTCACAGAAGGGGACATCTTTACAAAATATGGGGACACTCACTTAGAAGTAAGATGAAAAGGAGTTTCTTCTGCTGCAGGGTAGTGAATGTCTGGAATTCTCTGCCCCAGAATTAAGTATGGTGTAGTGTAGAGTTGTGGAGGCTAGATCACTGAAAGTATTTAAAGAGGAGGTGGAAGTATTTTTGAACTATCAAGACCATGAGAATGAAGAGTTTAGACCTGGGTAGATCACCCATGATCTTGTTGAATGGTGGGACAGTGTTGAAGGTATGAAAAGACCTTCTCCTGATTCTGTTTCCTTTGTTGTTATGTCTCAGCAGTTTCCAGTAATGGAGGACAAGTTGGACCAATGGGCACCTGAGGGCTTTAAGATGGAAAGTGGGGCCACCTGCTCAGATTTCAATGTGGCTGTGATTTTAGGGAACAATTCTTTCTCTAAAGTATTCATTGCATTGGTGTGAAGCATTCAGCCACATCAAACACTCCATTCAACTGAAATAACTCCACGATGGCCAGGAGACTTAATGAAAATTTAAATCTAAATCAAAATTTAGCCTGACACTTTCAGCGCAGTCCAAAGGGAATACTGCACTGTCAGAAGTACTGTTTTTCAAATGCAGTGTTACAAAGAGATCCTGTCTTTTTTCTCAGGTGAAAGCAAAAGCATGATTAGAAAACAGGAGGGGAATTTTCCCTTGGTGTCCTAACTCAACATTTATCCCACAACCAATATCATTCTCTCTCTCTTAGCTTTTTAATTGCTACATAGGGTCACCACAATGCTGACTGATTGGCCTGCTTGATCTCCACCCACATCCAGCCTGTTTAGATTTAGTGGGTGGTTTTATAGACAGATGTCCTTTCTGTCATTGAACCTCCCCATTTATCCAGCCTCAGTGTGTGCCAGCATGTCTGTGCCAATAGTTGGATTCTTCCTTTGGCAGCATGCCCTGGACAGTGATTCAAATCTGGAGGATTCAGAAGCATGAATGCTACTGCCTGTGCCACAAAAACGCAACCCCACCAAATTCACTAAAGCAGATTAATTAATCATTATCATTCCTGTCTCTGTGAAATCTTGCTATGCTCATAATTGGGTGCTGTTTTTTTAATTACAACAGCGACCCCATTTTGGAACATCTTGAGATTATGAAAGGCACGGGAGAAATACAAGTCATTTTCCTTTAATATATTTGTGTTCACATGCAGTAAGATAGCCGTTTTACAACAACCAAATGTTTCAGAGAAAAATTCTCAAATTCTTCTCATGTAGGATTCTGAGTTTGACTTTGATATCCAGCAGTCTGATGTGTTGTCAGCCTTGCATGTGAAGAGTAATCGTGAGGGGCATGGTTAGGTGAATAGGCAATGTCTTTTCCCAAGGGTAGGAGAGTTCAAAACTATAAAGAATAGGTTTAAGGTGAGAGGGGAAAGATTTAAAAGGGACCTGAGGGTAACTTTTTCATGCAGAGGTTGGTGTGTGTATGGGACAAGCTCCCAAAGGAGGTGGTGGAGGCAGGCACAATTACAACATCTAAAAAGCATCTAAATGGGTATATGAATAGGAAGGGTTTAAAGGGATATGGGCCAAATGCTGAAAAATAGGACAAGGTCAGATTGGGATGTCTCGTCGGCACGGATGGGTTGGACCGAAGGGTCTGTTTACATGACTCTATATTTCATCTAATTGGATGAAATGGCCCAAAGTGGTCATAATGTATTATTTGCTTACATTTCACAAAATAATCAACATTTGCTTTTATTACTGAGTAAAAGAATTCAGCAGCTCTAGTGTCTATTCACATCCAGGCAAACATGAAAATCCTTCTTTTACCTTCGGTAAGTGAATAATAATCAGTACTGTTTGCTGTCATGGGAATTCATCAATCTGATAGGTTGTTCAGTCTGATCATTTTACTGTTGCGGGACACTGGAAATCTCTTACTAATTGTAATATAGTTCTACAGGGCCCCGCACTTGCGTATTTACTCATTCTTGCTCACAATCCCACATGGGGCGAAATTATAAAGATCTGACGTACAAACATTTCCTGTACTTAGAAACAGCTACGTTATTTTGTCCTGCATTGTGTTCCAAACTTGCATACAAATCAACTTGCAAGTGGACTCCAGAATGGAACCTGTCCACAATCTGGGGACTGCCTACACTAAGATAATATCAGAAATTAATGTCAGAGTACCCACCAAAATCCTTATTGGCCACGTCATTCAAGACTACTTAATGCTGACTCCAAAATACAGGCCACAATATTCCCAGGAGTTCCTTCATTCAGTACTTTAAGGCATATCGATAATCTGCAAGTAACATGAGAAAATAGTCCTTTACTGAGAATGGTTTGTTATAATGAAAAGATTCTTTGACATTCCATTTTTCAATTAAGGTATTAAAATTAGGCCCTGTTTACCTGCTCAAATGCTTGCTAAAGATCCTGTCACACCATTCAAAGTAAAAGGAGGGAGATTCTCCATATCCCGACCAGCTTTCCTCCTTCAACAAACACCACCAGACACGAATTAACCAGTCATGCACCTTAGAGCTCTTTGCAGGATCTTGCTGTGCTGTGGCAAATGCATTTATGAGCAAAACAGCATTAAATATAAAATGTTATTTATTGTGAGTGCTTTTGGATGTTGCTCAAATATCGAGGTCCTGAATAAATAGAAATAACTTACATTTATGTGGCAATTTTTACATCCTCTGGATGGTCCAATACATTTCACAACCAATTAGGTACATTTTCTGTAGTCCCTTTTGTCATACCCATGCAATATTGCTTTAAGTTGCCAAAGATACAGCATTGTATACATTTCTTTAAAAAATGACAAACACTAAAGGGCAGTCTTACAAATGTCCTCACAAAACTTTGCAATATTTCACTTACAAGCATGCAGGAGAAGAGGTGAACTGTGCTAAGGTTTAGTTGGTGATGCAGGCAGGCCAGAATTCACCTGTCTTTTCAGACCCCATGCATGTAGCGGAAGAGGAAATTTGAATCCATGATGGTCAGTTGGGATCTATAAATTACAATTCTGCAATAAATCTTAAAAATCTTTCTCCCCATACAGCACAACAGGTGCTGACATTTCAGATTAAATGGTCCTGAATTTGTTGGTGCTTGGAAATGAAATGGATTTTTTTAAGGGTGCAACTGGGAATGAGAAATGGCAGAATACCAGGGGAAAGGTTTAATTCGGCCGATGCTTTAAGGTAAAAGACATGCATCTTTTACAATCGGAGAGAAAATTGTTTCCACGCCAGGAAGACTGCTCCTGAGCTTTGCTCTTCTGTTAATAAATTCAAATTATTTAACAAGTGGCCTATCATAACCAAGAAGGTCTGCAACTAAGTGCTTCTGTCACATAGGGAAGGAATTGCACATCCCTGCAAATGGGCCTTAACCTCTGGTTACTATTCTGTGCTGCACTGTTGGGCAATGTAACACTAGTTTTTTGCTGTTGTTAGATATTGTGGGACAAGTAATAATTAGTCAGGGCAATCTATTTGAAAGATTCTGAAAGGGTTAACAGTGAGGAATACTATATGCCCCAACCACCACAATCATGTCATATGGAATTGTGAACAGAATAGCTCAGAATCCCAAAGGAGCAAAACCTAACATCTAGTCCTCCTCAACATCTCTGCCACAATGTCTATCATATTAATGTAACACTCCAGCTGAGCCTATTGACAAATCTATAACTGATCTAACTCGGAGTGCAACACAGCCTCGTGAATGAATAGCCGTGGCAGATTCAAATCTGACTTTAGATGCTGAGGTTACTTGCTAGAGACAGGTTCAAGCAGAATATTTGACTTTCTTATCTTCCCAGGAAATCCTCAGTCACATTGACAGAGATCAAAGTCAGATGCAATCCTCAAATAACAATTGAGGAAATTAACATGTTGGTTTCACAGACAATTCAATCACTGAGAGTAAGTAACAGAATCTAAATTAAATGAATCAACATGTAAAACGTTTACCTGCCTCAGCACAAATGATACAGGGAGATTGAGAATAAAATGCTGCCGACACAGATTGAAGATGTGGTGTGTATAACTCCATCGATGCCACCACTGAGAAGGAATGGCCAATATCCAACGATTCTGGGTGGTGCAAAGGAGAAATAATCTGTTTCAGCAGAGTAGGCACCCTCTGTCAAGGAAATCCAAGAGATTAAAGGTTCTCTGGTTTAAAGGGAGTTACAGACCACAAACTGTTAGGGAGACAATTGTAGACAAAGGCCTTCTAGTCACAAACTACTAATTTCCCAACAACAGAGAAAATGTGTTCCAGGAGAATACCGAAACCTGCAGACTGCTGGAATTTGTAAACTCAGGTACCAGAGGGAAGATGGGTGGTAGTAAATGCAATTATCATTATCATCGGTGGTCCCTTGTAGACGAGGATGACTCTCTCCCACTCTCAGGGTGGTTCCATTGGTGGCCGTACAGACTGATGTGGCTACTGCAGGCTCTGTTACACTTGGGGCAGAAGGTGGTTGAGGGAAGGGGTGGGTGGGGTGTTAGTGTGGCAGCGCACTCCTTTTGCTGTTTTTGCCTGGCTTCTGCTCTTTCCCGACAGCAAGTCTCAAGGAGCTCGATACCTTCCCGGATGCTGCTCCTCCGCTTTGGATGATCTTGGGTCCGTGATTCCCAGGTGTCAGTGGGAATGCTGCACTTTGCCAGTGAGGCCTTGGCAGTACCGCTGAAGCGCTTCCTCTGTCTGCCTGGGGCTTGCCTGCCATTTTGAAGCTGGCAGCAGAGCACCTGCTTGGGGAGTCTCAGCCCAGCCCATCACATCCAATCAAGGGGGGGTCAATGCCTCAATGCTGGGAATGTTGGCCTGATTGAGGACGCTGGTGCTGGTGAATCTTTCTTCCCAGCAGATTCGCAGGATCTTGCGCAGGCAGCATTGATGGTACTGCTCCAGCACCTTGAGGTGTCTGCTGTAGACAGTCCATGTCTCAGAGCCATATAGGAGGGTGGGAACCACCACAGCTCCGTATACCATGATGTTATTGTCCTCGAACACCCTTTTCGTCAGGCAGTCGAAGGCTGTGCTAGCACACTGGAGGCAGTGCTGGATCTCTTCATCAATAACTGCTTTGGTCAACAGGGCAACTTCCTTTTTTACACAAATATCTTACACTAATAATGGGGAGAAAAGCTTGAGTGGGGGAGATGTTGTATTTGAGCCAAAAGAGTTAATACTGAGGAATACCATTAGCACCCTAACCATGTCACATGAACTTATGAGAAGTACATTTTAGGATCTTAATGGAATAAGACCCAACATTGGTCCTTCTTACAGTTTCTGTAACAATATCTATAATATGAATGTAACCTACAACTAGTTACTAACGTGCAACAAACCATATCTTCTCAATTACAAGAAACTCTTCTAGTGAGAGTAGGAGTGGTTTTCCTCTCCCACACTAGACCAAGCAGACCCTGCAGTTTCTCCTTATAAAGGATAATGGCAGGAACCTTCATGGTGAGCAGCAGTTCATAAAGCATTGTGAGCTGGCCCTGCCCATCCAATACAATTCAGCAACTATATGTTTGAAACTTTCAATACAATGGACCTTCACTTTCATCAATATGAACCTTATTAAGCATGATAAGATTGCAACATCTACATCACACAAATGGTTTATTTCTGTGTAAATGCTACTACATTGAAACCATTTTATTTCATCCACATTTTAATAGCATATTGTGGCAAAATATAAAGTTTACATATCCCATGCTTGATATGCCCTCCAAAAAAACCTTTCAGTCCTTATTGTTTGATTAATGAATATGAGCTTTTCCACAAATGGTAAAAATAGGTATCTTTGTGCATGCAGGTGGCTTTTTTTAAGATGACAGCAAGTAGGTGGTGGATACAGTTCAATGTTGATAAGTGTGAACATGGGAGTGAGGATGAAGAAAGAGTATTTGTTCAAAGGAATAGCAATTGGTATACTGGCTAGGAATAAGTACCTTTGGAAAACCACTGGATCATAGGTATCATGGAAAGGGCAAATAAAAAATGAACCCCTTCCTTTTCCTAAAATTATCATATTGCAACTTTTATGTTTCAACTTCTCTCCACAGAGACAAAGACACAAAGTGGTGACACGGAAAACACCACTGGAGAAGCTGAATTAGAGCAAGGAGAAACAGCAGAGGATGGCGAAACAGAAAAAGAGACAGCAGAAGAGGTTGAAGCAGAGAAAGAAGTGTCAGCAGAAGAAGTGACAGAAAAAGAAGAGACAGGGGATGATGCTGAAAGTGAAAAAAGAGAAGCAATGGAAGAAGAGACAGATAAAGGAGAGACAGCAGAGGAGGATGCGGCACCAAAGAATGAGTGAAAGTTGTCAGGAATAGCTCTATTACATCAACAAAGATGGTCTGAAGAATGTCTGGAAGTATATCTCAGTGTAACTAACTTTGTTTTTAATAATAAATGGTATTACCTTTAATTTTTAAGCCCAGCCCTTGTAAACATGAGGACATTTTTATAAATACAGATTATAAATAACTCTGTTTATTGTTTTTAATGCCATTCCTTGTAGACTTGAGTTACAGCTCAACTGTTTTCTGTACCAGTTGATTCCTCTCTTTGGAAACTCTCAAGGCTGGGATCATAGGAATAGGAGGAAACTATTCAGTCCCACAAACCTGTCATGCTAATCAATGATTTCATGGGTCTTAACACCATCCACTTACCTGGAATTTAATACTTTAACCCATTAATACCCTGGGTTCAAATCAATGGAAATGAACAACAGATAGGTTCTACCACAGATGGCTGATCTTCTCCACCAGCTGTTACCTGGGGTACCAAGTGGAACATCTATAGGTGCATATCTTGATAAACTGAGAAAAATAACAAGAGGTAATTATGTTGATAAGTGAGTAGTTATCCCTAAAAGGATTCAAGGTGAGAAAATTGGAACTTTAGAAGAGCAAAGAGATCTGAAAATGCATTCAGTAAAAGAAAAATAAACAGGTACAAAAGGTCCCCAGCAATCACAAAATATTGCAGATGTTGGAAATCCAATATAAAAGTAGAAAACACTGGCCACATTTAACAGGTGGAACCTCCGAATGAAATAAACACTGAATGTTTCGTCTATTATAATGCATGGTTAAGTCCAGCAATCCATTCACTTCTAAAAGATTCTAATCATCTATTAGGGGTAAAGCTGTGGGTAACAAATGCAGAATTATCAATTTTCTTCAGTCATTGAGTCACAACAAATAAGATGCAATGATTTTACCTTCTTAACAGACTTTCTCAGTCTTCAGTATGCATCACTGAAAATTCAACTCCTTCCTCAAATCTTGTGTGCACCAATTGAGGAGGCATAAAAAAACATTGATAGTAAAAGCAATTTGTTTTAAATTTTGGCATTTTTCTGTTTGTATGCAGTGTGTTTGTACACATGTGATATGTAGTTTGTGGTTTATTGGAATGTGAGGTTTGTCTCTACTAGTGTTATACAGTTTGTGTGTGTGTGTCTGTGTTAGTACATATTATGGTGTGATAGCACCATATGGTGTGAAATAAACGTGTAAACTTGTGCTGTATCTGCACATGTACATACTTGTATCATATATTTCTAAAGAAAATTTTACATTTAAACATTACAACAAAGCCACAAAACCGGCAGACAATGTGAGAATTCTGGCTTTATATAAAATCAATGTCCTGATCTCTCATTGGCGTAAAATTAATGGAAGACAATCAACATTATTTTTAAAAATTTCAACATTATTTTAAACATCACAGGATGGTTTCCAACAAACATAAATAACGCAATGCAACAGTAGGACATATTCAGCACAAGTTTTGGCCTAAATCTCTTATATGAGCTGTGTAAGTAAGACCTCAGATGGGACAGTAATTTCTAACAGTGATTTTGATTTTATTGTCATGTGTACCGAAATACAGTGAAAAGCTTTGTTTACGAGCAGTACAGGCAGATCACAGCAAACAACGGATGTACAGATCAAAAAGACTTAAGAGACATACAGGTTACATTGCAGGTTACATTAATTGAGGCTACAGTCCATTCAACAGTCTGGTAAGAGCCAGGAAGAAGCTGTTCCTGAACGTGCTGGTGCATGTGTTCAGGATTCTGTATCTTCTGCCTAACAGAAGAGGTTGTAGGAGATCATTATCAGGGTGCGATGGGTCTTTGATGATGTTGGCAGCCTTTCCACAGCAGCGAGCCGTGTAAATAGAGTCCATGGATGGAAGGTTGGCTTCCCTGATGGTCTGGGCTGTGCACACCACCTTCTGTAGTTTCTTATGGTCTTGGGCAGAGCAGTTGCCATACCAGGGCATTATGCACTGGGACAGTATGCTTTCAGTGGTGCCGACACTGGATGACTCCTTGCAAGCTCCTACGGTGGATAGGGACGTAATATGGATCTCACTTCCAGAATGTGTGAAAATAACCAGCCAAGCTTCTTTGCTAGCCCAAATTGCTGGTGCATATTCGAGTCAGTACCATTGTGCCTCATGTGAGTGTGTCACCAGTGTAGGATTGCAGTGTGACTCCAAGGAGGTCTCAGCAAATTGATTATCTTAACTACAACGTCCAAAAGGTACCATACACGAGGATGCTTAATAAGAACCCATGGTGTTTGGGATGGTAAAGTAGCATGGATAGAGGATTAGCTAACTAATAGAAGACTTCAGCTCTAGTGAATAGTCTTCTAGATTTGAAACATTAGCTTGCTCTCTCTCCAGTGCATGACATACTCTCTCTCCAGTGCATGACATGCTGTGATCTCCAGCATTATTGTTTTCAGTAACACAAGACAGAGCTGGAATAAATGGGGGGCAGTGGAGTGCCATAGGGATCAGTGCTGGGGCTGCAATTATTTATTACTGATTTGAATGAGGGAAGTCCCATAGTCAACTTTCAGATGACACAAAAAGTGTACAGACAGTGGACAAAAACTTGGCAGATAGAATATAATGTAGAAAAATGTGAAGTCGTGCATGTTGGCAGGAAGGAGAGATATTAATTAAATGGAGGAAGACTACACAAAGCTGCAGCACAGAGGGATTGGCAGTCCTCATGCATAAAACACAAAAAAGTAGCATGTAGGTTCAGCAGATAATAGGGAAGGCAATTCGACTGTTAGCCTCTATTTCAAACAGAATCAAGTATAAAAATAGGGAAGTGTGGCTAAAACTATACAGGGTACTAGGTAGACCATACCTAGAATACTGTGATAGGTTTTCATTCTAAGGAAATCTATAGTTGCATTGGAGGCTGATCAGGGAAGGTCCACTAGGTTGGTCCCAGGTATGGAGGGATTTTCTTATGAGACCCTGAGTAGGTTGAATCTGTATTCACTGGAGTTTAGAAAAGTGAGAGGCAATCTTATTGATACATGCAGGAAGGTTAAGAGGTTTGACAGGGTAGATGCTGGGGTTGTTTCCCCTCGTGGGAGAGTCTACCACCACAGTGCATAATTTCAGAGTAAGGGATCACCTAGTTAGGTCAGAGATATGAAGAAATTTCACAGTGAATCTGTGGAATTATCTACTGCAAAAGGCTGTAGAAGCTGGGGTTAAGTATATTAAAAGCTGAAACAGAGATTTTTAGTCATGGAATCAAGGTTCGTGGAGAAGAGGATTATTGCATCAGACATGATCTCTTTGAATGACACAGCACATTCAACGGGCTGAATAGCCCACTTCTGCTCGTACACCTTATGGTCTTATTATGCCACCACAATGAGACATGAAGAATACATTTGTGGTAGCCATGTCATCAGGTGCAGCAGAGATAAACCGGAAGTTTCACTGTGTCAGTCATTGAGACGACACAGAATGTGCAGACAACCCCAAATCCACCACACAATGATATCAATGAGGTCAATGTAGTTACAGTACCATTTGGGGGAAAACTGAAAAAATCATGAGGGAGAACGGAATAGAAAGGTTGCTTATACTTTTACAAACATTTTTACAGATGTAAGTGTTGCTGGTATGGCCAGAATTTGTTGTCCCTAATTGCCCTTCAACTGATTGGCTGGCTAAGTCATTTCAGAGTGCAGTTAACAGTCAGCATTGTGTGGGTCTGGAGTCACGTGTAGGCTAGACCAAATAAGGACAGCAGATTTCCTTCCCTAAAGGACATTAGAGAACCAGATGAGTTGATGAGTTTTTTTTACAACAACTGATCATAGTTATCATGTTCACCATGAGACTAGCTTTCAAATCCATATTTATTAATTGAATTTAAATTCCACCAGCTCCTGTGATCAGATTTGAAACTATGCCTGCAAGGCTTTACCCTGGGCCTCTGGATTACCAATTCTTTGACATTACCATGGTGCCATTATCTCCCATAGGACTGACTGCTAGGGTAAGGTCGAGTAAAGTGGGAGGTCTGGAGCATAATCTCAACATGGCTAGATGGGCAAAACGACCTGTTCTTGTGTTGTAAATTCTATCTGACCTTACTCTGAGATTAGGGGGCTGGTTGGCTCCTTGTGTTTTGCGACCTAATGGTGCAGTTGGGCAGAAGGAGATTAATACTCCTCTACTCCAATGATCAGTAGATTAAAGACCAGTGTCAGCCTGGGCTGCCATTGTTTATTTTGTTATATAATATACCAAAGAACATTTACAACACCTCATAAATCCAAGCAGTTTTCATCATACGAAGGCTATTTGCTAAGACAGCACTTTTAAAAACAAACAGCAATACACTGTTGCAGCAGCGAGTGTACCAGACAGAATATGGTACCCATTACACCTAAAATCGCCATTGAGCCTCAGCTCTACCCCTTTACTATACAGGCTGCCAGACAGAATCAAATACTGGACACCAACTCTCCTTTGGGTGATGGATCTGCTTGCCTTATCAGAAAAATGTAAGGGGAATACAGTAACTTGACAGTAAGAATTAGGGAAGTTCTGAACTCAATCAACTTAAACCAGTGATTGGCACATTAAACAGACTATTGATGGTAATTCAGTAAATGTGAAACAATTATTCCTAATTTTCAACAATGGGTAGCAGGGAAACCTACTATTTGATTATATAATCTTATCTGAATAAAAATCACTGCTTTTCCTGTCAAATAATTTACATCACCGCTTATCGATAATTTTGGAACTGACCTTCACGTACCTGTAAATTATTGTGAGACCTTATATTAAACAATTCAGTTCAACCCCGTGTGAAGTTAAACCTCTCCCATGCTCTCGGCCCCAAATTCTTCTCCTCTCCCCATCACAACATGGAGACCACTGGTACCTCATTCACTTGGTGGATCCCCAGCTGTGACCCAGTCAATGAGTGCTGAGGGTTGGCAGAAAGTGTCACATCTGAGTCCAATGCTGCACTCAGCAAGGCGGCAGTGATCAAGAACAGGAGCCCTGGCCCATTTTCTTTTGATCCTCTCTCCTACCTGTTCCTCAGGCCGACATGGCTGTATTGTGGCCAATTGGAGAATCTCAACAGCCAACATAACTATGTCACACACCAGGAATCAAACCTGGTTGGAGTGGTTCAGAAGCAAATCCAGCGCAGCCCAAAACTGTCAAAGAGCTCATTTTGCAGAGTTAAAACTTCTCTTAACATCCATAAGTCAACAATTGTTTACATCTGTGGAATATAACAATCAAACATATCTGTACCGTTAAAGAAGATTAATTTAAAAATAAAAATAGAATTAGCTGTGCTTTACGTCAACTTTTAAAGTTCTGGACTTTCTAACACTCAAGGAATACCCTACAGTACAGATTGAAACATTTGTTAGTAACTGCATAAAGCAATAAGAAACAGGTTCAACAGTAATCCCTCCTTTCTCCACTCATTGTTCAAGCAGAATAGGTACAAAAGCAGTAGTTGGGTTGTTGGGAGGGGAATTAGAAATGTTTACTTTGTTCTCAACGTAAGTTGAATGCTCTAATTACGTGCAGTGTGCAAGCAGACCCAAAGGCCTTGGAGAGGGTAGAGGAGATTTATTAGAATGAGGGACCACAGTTATGCGGCGAGAGTGGAAAAGCTGAGTTTGTTCTCCTTACAGCAGAAATGATGGAGGTGTTAAATAAGCAGATATTGCTTCTTATGGAAAAAGGCTTGGTAACCAGAGGGAACAGATTAGCAGAAGAACCCAGAAACAACATGAGGAGATATTCCATTACACAGCGAGTTATGATGATCTGAAAAGCAGATTCAACGGTAGCTTTCAAAAGGGTGGATAAATACTTGAAAGGGCACATTTTGCAAAGCTATGGGGAAACAGCAGGGCATGGGTTTAAATGGACAGAGCTTTTAAAGAGCAGGCATAGATCCCATAGGATGAATGGCCTCCTTCTGTGCTGTATTATACTATGATTCTATAAGGTGATATGGAAACATACTACAAGCAGCAGCAGAGCATCTAACACTTTGAGCTGACTCTAATGATTCGCTAAGTTTGTGGCTGACCTATCCTGATTTGATTTCCTGCAGTATCCCAACATACCTTAATTTTTTAGTACCCAAAACTCTCTGTCTTGAATATATACACAATTCATAACTGAGCAT